ATTAATTGAGTCTGCTGGAATAGGCTAAATGGCATGCTCCAGCAACCTTGGTGTCTCATGTATTCAGCATCTCAACTCTTCAGAATGGTGGCAGGATGTGGTTTAACACCAATAAGTAAGCTTTAGTTAAAGCAACCCCACCTCCATTTTCAAGTGTGGGACATTGAATATACAAGATGCTGAGGGTGCTTTAATTAGAGCCGCTCTAATTAAAGTGTTCCCCCTCTTCTTTCCTGTGGAGCACATCTAGAGATGCCCGTATATCTGAAAATCTGCTCCAGCAAGGCTGATTCTTACTCACATACTCTCCTGTCTCTTTTGTAAAGCCAGCCATACATTGCCCTTCACATTCTTATTTTGCATATTGAATTCATGCACTTGGCCTTTTGAATAAATACGTATATTAGCTGCTTGAAAAGGGGAGAGGGAGCTGCTATACCCTGAACAGTAGTTACGATGTAACTATTGTGTCTGCACAGTCTTATAATACTGCAAGTCAGGTAAACCACCCTTACTTTCATCCTGAATGAATCACTTTTGTTACATTTGTATTGCTACAGGATTGTGCGGATGAAACAATTACACTGTAATAGTTTGTTTCAGTATCCTCTGATATGTATACAATTGTTACATTTGTCTAAACGTTAGTTCATAATTTTCCCAGATACTGGAGCTTTAATTGCTTCTTCTGCTTTCCCTGCTCCACTGTAGGGCACGCTGTTGTCTTCATGCCATGCAGAGTTCCCTTCCAAGTTTGGAAGATTGGACCAAAAGAAATCCCATGAGTGTGCCCTTCTAAGCTTGAACAGCTGCTCTCGAGCAGCTTGGGGCTGCGTGATCCTTGCTCAGGGTTTGTGTTTTTCCATCTGCCAGGTGCTGTCTTCGAAGGGAAGCACCCGTTGCTTACCTGCCTCATCTTGTTCTTAGGAGTAGATGCAAGAGGTTCCCATTTGATTCAGACTCACTTGGAGGTGCTCCGTACAGATGTCCTTAGGGCTCTGCCTCCCCTACACCCCTTCCATGCACCAACCCTATGGTCTTTGGTGTGTGTCGTAGGACCCTCCCGTGCCCTGCTCCTAGGGGGTTATAAACTTAAGGGGGGAGGTGTGTTGCAGTGCACTGAAGTGCCTGCTCCTAGAGAAGGACAGATGTTGGTTGCTGGGGCAACCACAAGGGTCAGCTGACCAGGAGGGGGCAGGGCCTGGCCTATATAAACAGCCTAGGCTGAGGCCATAGGCAGTTCTCCTCTGGCAGCTGAGAGAGTAGGAGCTCTGTGGAAGCAGGGAGTTCCCCGGTTTAACATCGAAGGGTGAAGGAGCACGGTTGCAGCATTGCAGCCTATAGAATCTGAGGGCCTGAATTAGCTCCCGTGTGAGGAGACCAGGTGGAGGAAACCCTGGTAGGGATTTGAGAAGATAAACTACCAGATGGTTTAGGGTCCTGCTTCAGCCAGGAGGCTTATTTTTGTGTTGCAGCTGATTGGCTTATGGTTTTGCTTTGTCGTTATACCAGAGGACCGGGTGAGGCTATAAGGGGTTGGAGGAGGCCTCATAGGAGCTCCCCAGTAGTGTGGGGGTTCCAGGTGCCAGAGAGGGCACAGCAGTCTGAACCTAGGGCCAGGTAAGGCCAAGGCCGCCTGAGCCGGACAGGGATCATAGACCTCAGAAGGGGGTCTGGGGACCAGGCACGGCTAAGGCCACCTGAGCCCCAATTACGAGAAGCCCCAGGGTAGACACACAAGAATAGAAGCCTCAGCGAGGGCGTACAAGAATAAAAGCCCCAGGGAGGGCAAGCGCACTGAACGAAGCCCCAGGGAGGGCGTATAGGAATATGAAGCCCCAGGGAGGGCGTATAGGAATATGAAGCCCCAGGGAGGGTGAGTGCATAGAGGGAAGCCCCAGAGAGAGCAAGGGCACGGAGAAGGGCCCCGGTGTGGGCCACTAGGAGAAGACAGGCCCGGAGAGCATCCACGAGAGCGCAGGCACTAATAACTGACTCACCAACGTCCGGTACATCTGAGAGGCTTGGGGCATGGTATAAGGGGTGGTAGGAGCCACGCACAGCCCATAAGGCTGGGTGCACCAGATTGACCTACACGGAACAAGGGCTAAGATAAATAAGAGCACCGTGTCCAGGAGGTAAAGGAAAGGCAGCCTCCCTTATAATACTTTGGTCATCAAAGACAGGGCAGGTGAGAACAAGGGTGCTTGACTGCCAACTTGGCACGGTAGGGGGCGCCAGGAGAGATCACGGCCGCTCCTGGATCCCCGCCCTGTGACAGTGTGCAACTGATGACCTTGGCTCATCCAAGTTCCAGCATGCAGCGTCACCCCGATTGGGTCTTTTGTAGGTACCTGCTAGGTTGGTTGGCCTGTGCAGTGGCTGTGGGCACACTAGAGGATGACAAGTTACTGTCTGTCATGCTCGGCCTGCAAAAGCTCAAAGAATGGTCTTGCTTCCCGTGACCATTGCCCTGGGTCAGACAGGCCAGCCAGCCTGGCCAAAATGGTCTTCCACCCTGGAGTCCCTGAGAGCTCCTGGCTTCTCAGTCCTGGCATGGGTAACAACTCTCTATCCCAGGTCCTGGCAGTAATTAACAAAATAAAAGGCAAAGGCAGGGAGGCAGTGGTTTTTCCTCCCACTCATATGTTCCTGAGATTGGCTGGGCCCTTGGGCCTTTGGTCTCACTCTCTTCTCTGGTCCAGGGAGTCACTACCCTGGGAGGCAGAATCCTCTTCTGGACTGTCCCTGGCATGCCCGGGCTGTAACATGGCTAGGTGTGCCAGTCAGGAGCACACAGCTATAGTGTTGCTACTACTCCCCATCATTCCCTCTGCAGCCAGCTTTTGTAGCTGGCTTCCAGTGCCGGCTGATGACGTCATGGCTCCATATGGTCCCAGCTGCACCTATAGTTTACTAATGAAATGCACGGGCGGTGCTGCCCACTGCTTCCTGGGTCATGGCTTTTTCCGAGCCATCTCCCTGGGTCTTTGGGCTTCCCCCACCACCTTTCTGCCCCCTGGGCAGGGGTCTCCAGCCCCTCGGGCTTGTCGCTTTGTGAGTTTCAATAAGGACAAGTGCCAAGTCCTGCACTTTGGATGGAACATTCCCGTGCACCAGTATGGACTGGGTGCTTCCTGGGTGGGCAGCAGCTCTGCAGAAGAGAATCTGGGGGTTACAGTGGACAGTAAGCTGCATATGAGCCAACAGTGTGCCCTTGTTTCCAAGAAGGCTAACAGCATACTGGGCTGTATTGTTAGGAGTGTTGCCAGTAGATTAAGTGAAGTGATTATTCCCTTCTATTCAGCACTGGTGAGGCCCCATGTGGAATATTGTGTCCAGTTTTGGGCCCCCCACTACAGAAAAGATCTGGACAAATTGGAGAGAGTCCAGCAGAGGGCAACAAAAATGGTTTAGGGGGCAGGAGCACATGATTTATGAGGAGAGGCTGAGGGAACTGGGCTTATGAAGTCTGCAGAAGAGAAGACTGAGAGGAGATTTAATAGCAGCCTTCAACTACCTGAAGGGGGGTTCAGAAGAGGGTGGAGCTAGACTGTTCTCAGATGATGGAACAACGAGCAACGGTGTCAAGTTGCAGCAAGGGAAGTTTAGGTTGGATATGAGGAATAATTTTCTCACAAGGAGGGTAGTAAAACATTGAAACAGGTTACCCAGAGAGGTTGTGGAATCACCATCCTTGGAGGTTTATAAGACCTGGCTAGACATAGGCTTGGCTGAGATAATCTAGTTGGGGATGGTCCTAGTTTGAGCAGGGGTTGGACTAGATGACTTCCTGAGGTCCCTTCCACTCTGAAATTTGAGTCTGTGCAATGGGATAAAGTTTGTACTGTTCATGGGCTATACTAAGCAAACATGGCAGTGTATGGCTATAAAATGTGTCTGCCTCAAATTGAAGTATAATGTGGTCTCCAGGGACTGAGTGTTATCTTGGTTCAAAGATGACTGAATTTCTTTGTATGGATACTTTGTGACTATATGTACTTTATTCCAGACACTGAAGAGTTAGTCCGTTATACCAGGACGATCCAGCTTCTGAGTAGTTGGGGGCCATTACCTCACAGGCTGCACCAGCAGTGGCCAAGGGCCACTGCTCTAGGCTGCATCGTGTGTGCGTGCAGGTGCTTATTCCCCACCCCTCCTGCACTGTGTGCACATGCAGGCATCCCCTACTGTTGCAACCACACATGGCTCCCCTACCTCACTTTCAGCTATCCATCTGTGGATTCCCATAAGGCACCAGGCCACATGGAAATACAGGATGCTAGTTGCCTCAGCACGAAGGGCTATGTTGTGTCATCCCACCCTCTGAGGAGTATGGAGTGAGAGCTGGAGGAAGTAGGGGGAGCCAGAATGGTAAAGGCAGTGGCAGCTGGGTGGGAGACTGGGGGCCACATGATACTACTACAGCTGGGGGCCACATAATAACTTCACAGGCCACGTGCAACCCATGGGCCACTAGTTGGTCAGCCTCCAGTTATAACTATTGTTTTGTTGCTAATTTACTGTAAACTTGTGGTTATGTGGCGGGGGAGGTGAAAACAGGCTTAGCACTTTTAATCTAACTTTTTTTTTACAAAGATACACTATATAGATTGAATTATTCAGTGTTAAAGAAAAGCCAGTGTTATTCTGCAAGTGTTAAAGGAAAAAATATAACAGAATTATTTTTAATGCTCATACAGAAAACACAAAAGAAAAGGAATTGTATCTTGAAAAATGCACAGTATCTTGTGTTACTTAAGGCAGCGAGACGTTAAGGTTTACCTTATGTGCCACATACATTGATTAAATACCAAATATATGGTGGCCATTTTTGACCATCATTTACTGTATTGATTTGTCAGCAGTGGAACTGTAATAAAAAGCCATTGATTTACTGTCCTTATTTGCTTATGGGCTTTTTTATTATTAATTTTATGCTTTGTTTCCTATTTTCTGATTATAATTTTTATGCTGCTGTTGTTTTTTTCTTTTTTAAGACGAGCCTGGTGCTCACTGAAGTTGGAAAAGAGGAATGTACCATGGAACAAAGGAATGAAATAGTGAGCTGCTTCTTACCATTTCTTACTGAACGACAAGAGCTACGCAAAGAATGGACAGCAAGGTGAGAGCCCTACGGAAAAGAAACATATAGCTAGGCCTTGAAATTGCGCGCGCGCACACACACACACACACACACACACACACACACACATGCACACGCGCGCGCGCACACACACACACACACACCCCTGTCCTTAGGGGCATGCAGGGTCCAGGGCATATCAGCCCTTGCTGTGCCAGGGGGTGGTGAGCAGCCAGAGCACAGAGTGGGTGGGGAGAGCGGGGTGGCAAGCAGCAGGAGCATGGAGCCAGCAGTGGCTGCGGCAGGGCCTATATGGTACTGTCCACCGGGCCCTCCAAAAAATGGGGCCCAGGATGGTTGCCCTGATTCACGCCCCCCACTTCCCGAGACAGCCCTACACACACGCGCACACACTTCACAAACTCAAAAACACAAAGAAGAAGTTGACATGTTTTTGATATGCAAGTTGTACTGTTTACTAGTCTAGTAATGTTTCTGTCTGAGTTTAATAACCATATGTTTCTATATATGATCTCACAGTATTGCTGCAGTAGTTTATTTAATTGAAACCCTGATAAACAGCATATCCCCTGAAAAGAATGCACCCAACTTAATCATACTTCATTCAAAAGAGGTTTTACCGACTCTTCCAATAAATAATACTTGCTGGGATACCATGCTGATAAGTGCAATTTAAGAACCTAAAAAAGAATAGACAGTATTATTGTCTGAATTCTACAAGTAGTTGCATTGCTGTTAATGCTTACACATATGCACAATCTAAATATCACCAGTGGGAATTCATATAATAGTGTCAGTGGGAGATGAGACTAGAGTTGAAGGGTAGGATGGGGGAAGAATTTCCTGCTCTCCACCTTATTCAAATGGCTTACATTATGTGTTTGACAGTGCTTTATGTATTCGACTACTGCTTCAGTATGGTCAATTTCTTCTGTTGTTGTGTGCACGGAATTTTTACACAGCAACAAAAAAAGACAAAAAATGAGAGAGCATGATAAAATAAGGGAAGATACAACTGTCGATTGACAAAAATAGATTAAAGGATTCCAGGATATGTATAGTGGATACATTTTTTTAAAAAAACAGGTATTTTTTTTTAGTTTATAATGAAACTATAACTATGGTCAACTCTAGAGAACATAATTAGCGAAATGCATTTCAGTGACAATGAATAAATAATACTTTCAGCTGCTTATAAGTACTGTGCCTGTTCTGGTAAGCTGGCCTATTCACGAAAAATGAAAATTCACTAAAATAAATTTCCATTGTATGCTGCCATGGTTTGCTTCATGGAATTGCCCTTCCCTTTTAAGGCTGCTAAATAACTCACTCTTCCTTTAGCATGCTCAGATTTATTTAAATGTATGTATACTACTTATACATGTTTTAATAATATTTTGCTCTTGCTTTTTGAGGATCAGTTAAATGTAAAGACCTACTGTAATTGTGGACCAAATTCTACTCTTGTATATGTACGTATGTACTGTTAAACTCAATAGGAGTCCTGTCTTTGTATCCAAGTTCTTATTAGCCCAACATATATATTCTGATGAGATTATGTTGATCAAGGTCATTATTTATTGGTGTGGTTTATTTCCAGTGGGCTGTGCCAAAAAGAGATTATTATGTATATTTTTTATGGCTACAGAAAATTCTGGGCAATTGACTTCTGTTTCAAAAAGTTAGTGGTGGCTATGAAACCTGGCTCTTGATCGGGTTTCCTGTATTTATTTTAACTGTTGTGTGACCTCTAGAAACTCCTGGGTTTAAACACACCAATGTAGTAACACTTATTTGAACAAATTAGGAGCCTTGTCTGATAAGGTTTATTTTAGTTGGTAGAAAAACAGACATTTTGATATCAATTAGTTTCAATCTTAGAATGGAAATTACCTCATGAAATGTAATTTGCTAGCTAGTACTTCGTACTATTCCTCACGTAATGTCACTTGACTTTCCAGTTAGTTTCCACCTCTCCAAAGAACTTTAAGCAATTTTTGTTTAAAATATTGGCTCCAGTATTTAAATATTGGATTTAATATAATTATTATGACTAGTAGTAATAGTAGTAAATAATCTAAGTGATATATGGTTGTGTTGTAAATTAGGAAAACACTAAGGGCTTTTCTTGGAATATATCACTTCAATGGGGAGAAAAGGGGGGCCTTTCCAGAGACAGGTCAGCAATAAACAGTTGTAACAAATGGTATATCTTTTTAGTCTTCATTTGATGTAACTGTAATTTTCCAATATACCAGCAATCATGACAGTAGTGATTTGTTTAAAAGGAGTCTGATTACATTGTTTCTGGCCTTTGCGTACAACTAACAGTTTAATTAGAAGCTGGAGCCAGTATTAAAGGGGTACTATGTTTCTGCCTGGTTA